CCCTAAACCCTAAACCCTAAACCCTAAACCCTAAACCCTTGGCGCCTCAGAAGACGCTCAGCTCGCAAAGCTAGCCCGAAACCCTAGGCCCCTTGCATTTGACAGCTAAGCAGTTCTTTTCTGGAGGCCTTGAAGGAAACAAAAAGCCCAAACCCTAAACCCTAAACCCTAAACCCTAAACCCTAGGCTCTCGCTCCACGGCGCACGAAGCCGAGCCTGGTCCACCCCGCAGCGGCCAGCCCCAACCGCAAAACCTTAAACCCTAAACCCTAAACCCTAGCCTCGGGCCGCATGCCCGTTGCCCTGAACCTGCAGCCCTAAACCCTAAACCCTAAACCCTAAACCCTAAACCCTCACATGGTGGAGGGCCTGTTCCCCTGGAAAGTCTTGTGCGGAATTAGGGTTTCCGAAACCCCTTCTTTTTTTAACTCTTCTTTTGTCTTTCCAAAAGCCAAGGCATCTGGCTGGGCAAAGAAATTCGACATCAGCTCATCTTGGTTGGAAACCTCCTCGCCCTAATCGCAAACCCTAAACCCTAAACCCTAAACCCTAAGCCCTAAACCCTAAGCCCTAAACCCTAAACACGAGAGCGGGCCCTCCTGTGCACGCAAAGCAAGTTTATGCCGATTCTTTGGGGTCGGTGTTTACTCAGGGCGCTGAAGGCGGCAAGGGCTAGGGTTTAGGGTTTAGGGTTTAGGGTTTAGGGTTTAGGGTTTAGCAGGTACCTCCAACTTGATGGGGTTTTGGTTCTTCTGGAAGCCGATGAACTCCGCAGGCACCACACGGCCCTGGTGCAGCAACTGGTAAAAGCTGTGCACATACCCCAAACCCTACACCCTAAACCCTAAACCCTAAACCCTAAACCCTAAACCCTAAACCCCAGCTCTCCCTTTACTCTCTGCCCGGTCTACACAACAGTCAGCAGCAGCAGCAGCAGCCTCTGCAACAGCCGCAACAGCAGCCACAGCAGCAGCACGAGCTGTAGCAGCAGCATCGGCCTCAAGCAGCAGCAGCCTAAGCAGCAGCAGCAGCCTAAGCAGCAGCAGCAGCAGCCGGAAGAGCAGCACACGCAAGCCTGAGCAGCAGCAGCAGCAGCAGCCTGAGCAACAGCAGCTTCAGCAGCAGCAGCAGCGGACTGAGCAGCAGCAAAAGCAGCAGCGGACTCGGCAGCTGCAGCAGCAGCAGCAGACTGAACAGCAGCAGTAGCGGCAGAGGACTGAACAGCAGCAGCAGCAGCAGAGGACTGAACAGCAGCAGCAGCAGCAGCAGAGGACTGAACAGCAGCAGCAGTAGCAGCAGCAGAGGACTGAACAGCAGCAGCAGCAGCAGCAGAGGACTGAACAGCAGCAGCAGCAACAGAGGACTGAACAGCAGCAGCAGCAGCAGCAGCAGAGGACTGAACAGCAGCAGCAGCAGAGAACTGAACAGCAGCAGCAGCAGCAGCAGCAGCAGCAGCAGACCTGTGTTGACCATTGGTCCCTGGTTCTCCGAAGTAAATCTCTCCCGCCTCGCATTCCAATTTGTTGCCCTCAAGGTCCACGCCTTTGCCTGAGGCCCCAAAACAAGAAAAGCCTTTCCTGTAAACCCTAAACCCTAAACCCTAAACCCTAAACCCTAGAGTTCTGAACAGGGGTTTAGGGTTTGGGGCCAATCGGCGGTTTAGGGTTTACCGTTGCTCTCCATTGTGAGCTGCTGAATGTGGGCAGCAAATCTGTGCATTGCCTGCAACAAAAAACCAACGCAATTAGGGTTTAGGGTTTAGGGTTTAGGATTTAGCCTCTAGGGTTTAGGACCCTCTTGCCCCACAAGGGTTTCGGGTTTAGGGAGCGCCTGCAGCAACAGCAACAGCATCACTGCAGCAGCAGCAGCAACAGCAGCACTGCAATAGCAGCACTGCAGCAGCAGCACTGCAGCAGCACTGCAACAGCAGCACTGCATCAGCAGCACTGCAACAGCAGCACTGCAGCAGCAACAGCAGCACTGCATCAGCAGCACTGCAACAGCAGCACTGCAGCAGCAACAGCAGCACTGCAGCAGCAGCACTGCAGCAGCAGCAGCACTGCAGCAGCAGCAGCACTGCAGCAGCAGCAGCACTGCAGCAACAGCAGCACTGCAGCAGCAGCAGCACTGCAGCAGCAGCAGCACTGCAGCAGCAGCAGCACTGCAGCAGCAGTGCAGCAGCACTGCAGCAGCAGCAGCAGTGCAGCAGCAGCAGTGCAGCAGCAGCAGTGCAGCAGCAGCAGCAGCAAACCTGGGAGTAAGGCAGCACTGCGACGCAGTTGAGTCCCAAAACTGAAGAGTTGAAGACTGAGCAAAGGCCCATCAGCATTGGGAGGTTTTCGGAAACTGGGGCCGTCAAGAAGTGCTGGTCCATTGCGTGGCAGCCCTGCGCGCAAACCCTAAACCCTAAACCCTAAACCCTAAACCCTAAACCCTAAACCCTGGGGCCCGGGGCTGGGCAGCAGAAAGCGACCCGAAGGCTTGAAGCCGCAACGCTGAACTTCGAAGCGCCGGAGCTGCAGCAGAACTGCTGGAGCTGGCCATTCACAAGTAAAACCCTAAACCCTAAACCCTAAACCCTAAACCCTAAACCCTAAACCCTAAACCCGCTGGAGCGCCTCCACCACTAGGGTTTAGGGTATCTTAGAGTTTAGGGTTTAGACTCTCAGGCATGCAGGGTTCCGCAGTTCAGGCCCACTACACGCTCCTGCGGTTTAGGGTTTAGGGTTTGCTAAAGTTTAGGGTTTGCTAGGGTTTAGGGTTTAGGAATTGCTAGGGTTTAGGGTTTCAGCGAACCTTCAGGAACTCCTCAACAACGTCATAGCCATAATGAATGGCCAGAGGCAAAACCCCCACAGCCGAAGTCACCGAGAAACGCCCACCCTGAACACAAACTCCAAACCCTAAACCCTAAACCCTAAACCCTAAACCCTAAACCCTAACTCAGAAGCATATGGCCCAGGACGTCGCAAATCAGCATTCAAATCCTCGCGGCCTACAGCCTTCGCGGAGTCTGACTTTTATATTCACTCTAGACCCTAGACCCTAGACCCTAGACCCTAGACCCTAAACCCTAAACCCTAAACCCTAAACCCTAAACCCTTACAACCCAGTCCCAGAAGCCGAAGACTCTGTCGTCTTGAATGCCAAACTTGGCAGTGAGCTCCAGGTTGGTGCTGACGGCGCAAAGATGCAGGCCTGCACCCCCGCCCACAAACCCTAAACCCTAAACCCTAAACCCTAAACCCTAAACCCTAAACCCTAAACCCTAAACGCTTCTAAGCGCGAATGGCTCCGCCTACATGCCTTTGCAAAAAAGCATTTTCATTTAAACTTCCCGAATAAAACAAACACAAAAAGGATTTAAAAATAAAAAGGATAAAATAAAACAAAAATGAAAAGATAAAACAAAAAGAGGAAAAGAAATAACCAAGGAGTTACAGAAAAGGACAAAAAGGACAAAAGAAATCCAATGAGACAAAAAAGAAAAGAAAAAGAAACACAAAAAGATAAAACGAGAAATAAAAATAAACAAAAATGATAAAGAGAATATTAAAAGTGGGAATTAAGTCTGCGTGTTCCCGCCCCCGCTGCTCCCTCTGCTGCTGCTGCTGCTGCTGCTGCTGCTGCTACTGCTGCTGCTGCTACTGCTGCTGCTGCTGCTACTGCTGCTGCTGTTGCTGCTGCTGCTGCAGCCTGCGTCTGCGCTGCCGCTGCCGCCGTCGGCCCCGCCTTCCCGCTGCCCCCGCCTCTGCCTCTGCCGCTGCCGCTGCTGCTGCTGCTGCTGCTGCTGCTGCTGCTGCTGCTGCTGCTGCTGCTGCAGCTCACCAATTTGGTCCTCGCGGCCTATGCCCTGCAGCAGCCACTGCCGCAGAGACCGAGCATTCAAAATTGTCTCCGCAGTTGTGAAAGTTTTGCTGATCACCAAAACCAGAGTCTCCTCTGGAGACAGTCCCTCGACGCTGCGGGCCACGTCTGTGGGGTCCACGTTTGCCAAAAACCTGCAGCAGCAGCAGCAGCAGCAGCAGCAGCAGCAGCAGCAGCAGCAGCAGCAGGGGGGCTGGTGGGAAAGAACGGGAGAGGAGGAGGGCAAGGGTGCAAGAGGAAGCAAAGGAGACAACGAGAATTGAGTCCGAGGCAAAGCAGATAAAAAAGAAAAGATCAAAGGAGGGTTTAGGGTTTAGGGTTTGGGGTTTAGGGTTTGCTGCTAGGGCCACACGCCGTGGCCCACAAGCCGGAGCTGCTGTCTGTTTGTACTATTCACTATTCGGATGGCCCAGGAGATAAAAAGAAATAAATGAATTATAATTGACAAGTGTTTATTGCAGCCTCTGAGGTGTATCGACACCAAAAAGAAACAAAACCTCGAATGCTTTTCGAAAAGCTTTTTGAATTTTCTTGAACGCAGCAATGTGGAGCCAATTGGGGAGAACTGATGGGGCATTTAATCAATTAATAAGTTCATTTATTTATTTATTTATTTATTTATTTATTTATTTATTTATTTATTTGTTTTTATATTTTTGATTAATTCGTCAATTCATCACAGATAGCAGAACAGCGCCAGACTCAGACGCAGCCAGCGCATGCAGCCCTGTAGGCCACGAGGGGAAAAAATGAAAATGAAATAAAAAGAAATAAAAGAAATAAAAAATAAAAAAAATAAAAGAGATAAGAAAGGGAAAAGGAAAAGAACAGAAACAAAAAAAAGAAAAGAAGAAAAAAGGCAAAAAGAAAATGTGAAATTCAGCCCAAGACACAAAAGCCTCTAGCACCACCAAAAGAGAGCCAAACTGAAAAAGAAACAAAAATTAATTAATTAATTAATTAATTAACTATTTATTTAATTAATTGAAATACTGAATAATAAAGAGAACAATGGCGAAAAGAAAAAAGGAGGAAGACGAAATTGTTTCCAAATGGCATTTAATGCCGATTCAGAAAATTTGCTGAAATCGCCATTTTCAGCTTTTTTGAAAAAGCGAAAAATTAAATTAATAATTATAATAGTAATTATTATTATTATGTGTTGAGAATATCAAATAATAATGCAATATTAATGATAATAATAGTTCAAATTGCTGAAGTTCAAATTATTGGAAGCATTTGGAAATGCTTTGAAAGCACTTGAGAGAAATAAAAGAAATGAATTCATTCTCTTAATGGCATTCTATAAAATTGATTTTTGAAAAAGAATTTACTTTTGGAATTTTATTAATTGGAAAATAATTTCAACTTCCCTTTTGACTGATAAGTTCCAACAAGGAAGTTCAGAAATGCCGAAATATGCAGTTTATTTTTATTTCAAATCTTTTTCCACTTTCAAGAATTCAAATTATTTTAAATTAAAATGTTTAAATGAATTATATTTATCTATTTTTGATTTATCTTGGAAAGTTTTTAAAATGTTTTTGACAAAAATGAGAAAAGACGCAAAATCGAAAACAATGCAAATGGTGGATTAAAACGAAACCCAAAAAAGAATAAAACATGAAAAAATAAATTTAAAAGAAATAAACAAAAAAGGATTTGAGAAAAAACAAAAATGACAAGGAAATTAAAATCCAAAAAGCAAATTAATTGAAAAGATATAAATGAAAAAGAAATCGAGAAAAAAAAGACGAAAGCGATAACAACCCGCCAGCGACATGGCCCAATCGCACTAAACCCTAAACCCTAAACCCTAGGTTCAGAGAAAACCCTAAACCCTAAACTCTCGCACCGAGACAAAACCCCAAACCCTGAACCCTAGCTTCAAGGCGAAACCCTAAACCCTAAGCCCTGGCTCTACGCAAAACCCCTAAACGCTAAACCCTAGCTTCGAGACCAAACCCTAAACCCTAAACCCTAAACCCCCGCGTCGGATCTGCTTATGAAGATCTGTGGCTCCCCCGAGGATCCTGTGAAGGCACCACGGGGCCGCGGCGACTGGGGTAAACCCCACTAGGGTTTAGGGTTTAGGGTTTAGGGTTTGGAGCCTCAGCCCACCTTATTTGTCTTCCTTTTGATTCTTCTTTTTTCAAAACCCTCAAACTTTCCACCACAAATTCTGTCCCCAAATAACTTCCCCCAATCCCCACGCAAATCAGGTTCTTCAAAACCGCCCCAGTGGCACCCCGCAGCTCCCCTGCGCGCAAACCCTAAACCCTAAACCCTAAACCCTAAACCCTAAACCCTAAACCCTAAACCCTAAACTCCAAGCCCCAAAACCCAAACCCTAGACCCTCGGCAATCAGCCAGAAGCCCTCAAGGCGCGCAATGGAAAAGCAAAGACAGGCAACGGCGAGGCTCACACCGCAGACGCCCTGAACCCTAAACCCTAAACCCTAAACCCTAAACCCTAAGCACTAAACCCCAATCCCTGAAGGCCCGTAGAAGCTTCAGCACTTGTGGGAGCCGGAGGTCTAAATCCTTTGATCCAACATTAGGGTTTAGGGTCTAGGGTTTTGTCTTCAGGACTAGGGTTTAGGGTTTTAGGGTTTTAGGCTTTGATGCCTAAAACTTACGGAGATCTGAGGGTTTAGGGCTTACCCTAACTCTAAACCCTAAACCCTAAGGCTATAGTCGAAAGTTCAGTGTTTAAGTGCAAGCTAGGGTCTAGGGTTTAGGGTTTAGGGTTTGGCGTCGAGCCAATCGCAAAAGGACCCTTCCGAGCGGCAGAAGCACTACAGGGTTTAGGGTTTAGGGTTTACCGCTGCGTATTTTCTCGAAAAAGTCCTCGAAGCTAGGGTTTAGGGTTTAGGGTTTACCGATGCGAACAATATTGAAAAAGTCCCCAAAACTACTGTTTAGGGTTAGGGTTTAGGGTTTAGATTTGCCGGTCTCGTTGGCGAAGTCCGCGCTAGCCCTTGGAGTCTAGGTTAGGGTTTAGGGTTTAGGGTTTAGGGTTTAGGGTTTAGGGTTTACCGGAGCGGATTTTGTTGGAGAAGTCCTTGATTCTTTGGAGGACACTGTGGACTTCTTCAATTATATTATTTCCTTCAAGAAGAAGTTTATTTTCTTTCGGAGTTCTCAAAGCCACATGAAGAACTCTGCGATGTTCTGTGGAGTTTATTTTTTCCCCCTGAAACATCGCCTTCACCTTCGCCTCCACCTGCCCGCAAACCCTAAACCCTAAACCCTAAACCCTAAACCCTAAACCCTAGGCCCTACGCGCTGCAGCCTCGGCCTTGCCCTTGGCGCGAAAGAAGCAACCAGCACACAGCTCCACTTAGCCCGCTGCACGTTTCGCTGCAGTGCGCCCAGCAAGGGGTTTACTAAACCCCAAACCCTCGCTAGGGTTTAGGGTTTAGGGTTTAGGGTTTAGGGTTTAGGGTTTAGAGTTTAGAGGTCAGGCACCTGCCGCTCCTCCGCCAGCTTCATTAGGGCATCGAGGCCATTCTTGTCTAGCAGCTGGCGGCTGAAGTCCATGCAGACGCCTGAGCGCACAGCCCTAGTCTAAACCCTAGTCTAAACCCTAAACCCTAAACCCTAAACCCTAAACCCTCGAGCCATTCAAGGCAGATCCACACACTACACCTTCACAGCCCTGCAGCCTTTTCGAGTCCTCAACCCTTCGTCTTCTACGGCGCAAGTGTCTGTCCCAGAGCCTGACTGGCGTGGCGCTTAGGGTTTAGGGTCTAGGGTTTAGGGTTTAGGGTTTAGGGTTTGGGCAAGAGGTACCTCCGAACTCTCTATACATGCGCTGGTTGCGCTCATCGTCTTTGATTAATTCTCGCAAATTACAATTTCTTTCTTTTTGCTGCTGCAGCTCCTTGAGGGCTTTGCAGGCGGCGAACTGAGAAGACATTTTGGAGCGCTAAACCCTAAACCCTAAACCCTAGGGGCTCGAAATGCAAAAATGTGCGCCCGGTAGGCTGTTCAGAAAACCAAAAGGAGGTTTTGCAGCTAAAGAAACATGAGACACTTCAAGTACATGTCGCGTGCAGCAGCAGCAGCAGCAGCAGCAGCTGCTGCTGTTGCTGCTGCTGCTGCTGCTGTTTCTTGCACACAGGCCTCGACTCCGGTGCACCTCGCGTTTTCCTCCTCAAGTCTTCTTTTAAATTAAATAAATAATTAATTTAGTTTTAATATTTGATTTTAGGTTTAATTTTTAGGGGGTGGCTCTGCACGGGCTGTGCTGCTGCTGCCGCTCCCCACTGAGTCGGTAAGCTTCTTGGTGAGACAGAATTGAAAACCCTTACTTAGGGTTTGGGGTTTGGGGTTTAGGACTTCAGCATAAGCGGCCCAGTCGTAGCTACAGATGGGCCTTCAAACCCTAGTCAGGAGTTCCCCTGAAACGAGCTGTTGCCACACCTGATACCCCTGGCTGTTAGTAGCAGAACGGGGGCCCCGATCTAGGGTTTAGGGTTTAGGGTTTAGAGTTGGCCGCTAGCACCGGGGGCCCCCAGAGCAGCAGCAGGGGCCTCCGGAGGCCCTGGGCACCCGAGGGTCCCGGTCCCCAGGGGGCCCCCAGGGGGCCCCCAGGGGGCCCCCTGGGGGCGGGGCCCCCTGAGGGCGGGGCCCCCTGGGGGCGGGGCCCCCTGGGGGCGGGGCCCCCTGGGGGCCCCTGCGGGCGCAGTGTTGTGGCGCTGGCTGCAGGAAGTAAACCCTAGAGCTGAGCAAGTCCTGGGCCCCAGCCCCTAGGCTCCCCTGCGAGGCCCTGGGGCCCCCCGGGTTTTGTGGTTTCCCGGGCCTTGGGGGCCCCCCGCTCTTGGGGGCTCAGGGCCTGGGGGGCCCCCGGGTCTTGGGGGCCCCGGGGCCCCCAAGACCCCCCGGGGCCCCCAGGGCCCCGGGGGCCCCCAAGGCCGGGGGGGTTTGGTGGCTTCTCTGAAGCCCTCAGACTGAATTGCTGCAGGGGGTCTTGGGGAAGCTTTTGGCCATTACTCCCTTAGGGAGTTTCGGGGCCCCTCTTTGTGGTTTGCTGCTGCAGCTGCGCAGCAGCAAACCACAAAGTGGCCCTCCTTGTGGTTTGCTGCTGCAGCTGCGCAGCAGCAAACCACAAAGTGGGAGCCTCTGTGGCTGCGGGCTGCGGGGCTTTGCCGCAAAGCAGCTCTTCTGTTGCATGCGCTAACAGAAGAGCTGCTGCGTGCTGCTGCGCTGCAGCTGCAACTGCTGCTGCTGCTGCTGCTGCTGCTGCTGCTGAGGCGAAAGCTTAGGCCCTGGAAGCCCCGCAGCAAGGCAGGCTGGTCTCAGGCTATTTCCGTTGAAAGCTGCGAAGGCTGAGACTCTCGCTATTGCTGCGAAAACTTGAAATGCGAATTGCAAACAAAAATATATTATTAGACCCACTGGGAACATCTGCGAAAACTTGAAATGCGAATTGCAAACAAAAATATACTTGCAGTTCCTCTCCAGCTCTCGCGTGCTTCCACAGCGTGGAAGGAAACAAACAGAACTTCGCATTCGCAAGACACAACCACGGAAAACACTTTCTGCTTTTCTTCTCACAAAACATTTGAAGTATTACACTCTGTGAACTCTGCTTTGTGCGTCCTTAAACTCTCTTCTAGCGTTTTAGCAAGCCTGGAAGTTTCATTTCTGCTGCTGTGTGCAGCAGGACCATGCAGCGCAGGAACTTCCCCCCGAGGTGGTAATATTGGAGTCATAAAGGTATATTATTTTCAGAATAGAATTATTTCATTTCTACGAGCCTGGCCGTGGCAGCAGACTAGGCGTAGGCCGCTCTGCAGGCAGGCAGTGTCAGTGGCTGGCAGCACCACACAAGTGCTCCTCCTTTTTCCAGATTAGCCACCCATTTTGAGAATCTTCCCCATAATTCTAAACCCTCACAATTCCAAACCCTCATAATTCCAAACCCTCATTCATTAGCCGCAGCGTGAGGGCGAAACCCTGGCCATTCTGCAGTCAATAAGTGCAGCTTTCCAGCAAAAAGGCTTGCATAGTGCTGCTGTCTTCAAGAAGTTTGGGAAACGTTGCGTAGGACTCCCCGGAGCCTCCATAACATTTATATCAGAATTTATTTTCCGAGTCATTGCGGACTAGAGTTGGTTTCACCTGACGGACTGGCCTGTAGTTCCCCGGCAGTACAACAGGGCTTGTTGGTGACCTCAAGAAAGTAGCTAGCAGTGGCATCTAAGATGTTAAGAAGTTGAAAAACGCGAAAGCTTCTTCTTATTTGTGAATTAAGGCAATTTGGCAGCAAATTAGCACCTGTAAACGATAGCGCCTTTTAAGAAAGTCGAGTTGAGAACTTGAAAGATGACTGTCATTGTGGATGATATGTCGTTTGTTTCATAAGAGATTCTTCGGCAGCAGAGGGCTCTTCAAAGAACACCTTTTTCGCGGCCAGGCAGCAGCGTAGTAGCAGCAGAAGGCGCTGTGCAATTCATCTTCGCTAGCTGGCCGCCAACTTTAGTTATAGCCCGCGCGGCCTCTGCCACTGTGGGAGTGGCATGAAGAGGATGGGCCGGCATTTTGTGCGCATTTTGCTTCGGAGTTTGTGGACATTTGTTTGTGGGGAAGATAACGGGGAGTTGCTTAGGTGCTCTCTGGGTGTGAATCATTTGGGCAAATATTGCAAGTATTACTACTCCTAGTTCCGGAAAAAAACGAATTAATATCCCGGAAAAGCCCCCAAATATGGTGTATGGCGTCCCCTGCTGCTACTAAGTACTGCCTGGCGCATGAGTAGGACGCCCTTCTGATAAATTCTTTGCATCATTCGTCAAATATCTCATAAAACAATGCCAAATAATCAATAACCCGTCATTTTTCGAGTCTGTCAATCGAACATTTTTGAAACTTTCCCATCATAGTTCTTCCTGCCTTGACTCGGCTGGGGCAGTGCCTGCACCGGCGCCAGCCAGCGTCATCGCCAGCCCCAATCTCAGGCCATTCACAGACAATTCTAGCTTACACATGTTCTCTTGCTGATAAATTGCCTTATTTTTTTACTGGTAAGAAAGTTCTGCTCTCGTTCCGCGTGTTCGTCTCTTACAGGTCGCCAGCCAGATACCTTCTCAAGTTCACCAGAAAGCACCATTGTGGTCCACAAGCACTATATGTAATCTACTGGTCTCCCAAACACTACATTTAGCTTACTGGTATCCGAAATGAGGCTGGAACAAGATGGCGTAACGTGCCATTAGGATCTAGCTGGCACTGTAGGACACTGCGTTCTCTACAGGGTCTACGATGCTGCACGACCACAACTCTGGCGCTCTATGAAATCTTCTCTTCTACAGACGCTTCGATCTCGTAACGTCAGCTATATTATTAAAAAGACCATTTTGTTTCAAGTTCTCAAAATCGTATTTCACGAAAAGCCATTTCTTATGGTTCTTGCTTTGCTGGTCCGGTGAGGAGGTGACACCGCACCAGTGCCCGCACTGTCGGCAGCCCCAATCTTAGGGCATTCGCAGGCATTTGTAGTTTATACATGTTAATTTGCTGATAAATTGCTTTTCCATTTCAATAGTAAGAAGTTACAGCGCTCAATCTGCTTCACAACCTCTTATCCGCTCACAGGTCATCAGTTTGCTATCCTCTACAGATCACCAGCAAGCCCTATTGTAGTGCTTGCGCACTACAGGCACAGTTGGCACAAATAAAAGCTCCACCTTGTGGGTTTCGTTCAGGAACTTTTTCATGCTTTAGTAAGTTTTCCCTTTCTCCGTGCTGAAAACGCAGGCAGAGCTCAGGTTGTTTGCTCATAGCCTACTCACAAAATCACTGTGGGGCGGCAAGTGCATGGGTACTCAGCGGGAACTGCAGATGATGCATGGTAAAACTAATCACAATGGGACTGGAAAAAGGAAATCTGAGAACAAAGCTGGTCAATTTAAGCGATTCGCAGACGTTCTCCTTTGTGCGCATCACAGCAACAAGTTCTGGTTGCAAATCTGCACAGAAGATTTCAGAGAGCCAGCCAATGTTGCAACGGCATTTCTGGCAAACTCTGGAAGCACTTGCACATATTCGAGTTGCCTCTAAGCAAATCTTTATCTCAAGTGTTCGAACTTTCAAGTAAACCCGTCTGGCCTCCGCAGTGTGGCGGTTAACACCATTTGCTAAACTTTGACTCTCGCAGTGCAGCTTTCCTGCCTAGCGGCCAGTTACTACTGAATGGAATGTGCAACATCCTGCAATCACTTGCAGCAAGCTGCAGCTCTTATTTTCTTACTTCTCTGTTCCCGAAAGTGGATTTTAGTGGTGCAGTCTTACTAGCGGCACTCTCGCATTCAAACTGCTTTTCGCGTCAGGAAAAGCCTTTGCAAACGCCCCTCTCCACTAGCACTGCTATGGTAGCCGTTAGATACTGCTGATGCACCGTAACAGATCGCCTTCTAGAGATTGCTCTAACAAGCCTCTTAGATAGCGTTAGTCCATGCCTAGCTTCGCAGATATCAAGTCTACAAACTTTAGAAAGAACCGCACTTTGTCTACCTCCTCACACGCCGTGTGGTAGAAGACTGCGTGTGCAGGCCTTGTCAAACACCTGCACCACTTGTTCCGTAGATGTGCCAGTTCTCTCCAACAAAAAGTCTTTTGGTTTGGCCCATTTGCAATGCGCCTGCCAATGCATGCCCCGCAAAAAGCGCCTTCTGTGAAGGTGTGTTCCTGTCTTGGGCTCTGGGATACGCATGCAGATGCTGCCTTCTGCAGAGGTCAACTGCATTATGGGCTGGACATTTGGGCTCCCCTGTGCACCTATCATTAGCCCGCTTTGTAGGCAGCTAATTAATAGCTCTAATATTCTGGAAGTGAAAGGCATCCGTTTTCTGAGAAGTTAATTCGTCCGCCTTGGTGAGCTTGAATTCCCGAGTTTCCCGTAGCGGCGAATGACTATAATGACCTCCGCAGAGGTTATCCACTTAGAGAACATTCCTAGCTTGCTAAACAGGCACGCATATAGAAGGGCAAGTCACTGAACAAAACCTTTTGAATGCAGTTTGGCAGGTATGGCTACTGCCTGGCTCCTCCAAAAAGGCTCTCTGTGCCTCTCGCCGCCCGCACCTCAAACATTGCCATCCTCAAACACTGCTTAAGCGGTAGGTGAATAGCTTGCACAGTTCCTAATCAGAAGGTAGTGTTCAGTATCTGCCCAATGCACATTAATGTCTCTAAAAGGCCTCCAAGAAACGCTTGGGAAGGTTAAATCCTTCGTAGTGTGCTCGTGCGCAACAAGTGAGCCACATCGCAAACGCGTTTCCTCGTGCGAGTCGGCAGTTGACCCGTTCCATGGTTGTAATTTGTCATATAATGCAGCAGAATATTTGTTGTTATAGCCCCAGGAGACTAAAGCACCAGGAATGGTATTACTATAGTGTTTCCCCGCCTGGGCAAGGACAACAGAGGTGGGTACCTTAGTTATTGCTATGAGCACGAGAAGGGCTCGAACTTCGTTTGGCACTTACAGTGCTCGTCTAATCCTAAGCAGCTGCTGCTGACCTTCGGGTCGCAGCAGAACTTTGCAACTTCCTTGGCCCCTGGCTTTACTAGCTGGCCGCTCGATGGGGTATATTGGCCTCCGCTGAAGCTGCTTTTTGAAAATATCCGTCTCATTCTTTCTAGTTGCCTGTGGCACACGTACTGTGTGGAGGAAGCTTTGCGGCAACTGCATAGAGTACAGCATCACAGACTGGCAAAGATAGGCATGGTCCCGGAACATTGTTGCAGAGCAGCGAGGTGGATGGCAACTGCATGCCGCTATTACTTCAATCGTCGCAGTGCTGCAAGGCTCGATAGGCAGCCGTATGTACTAGTGGAATGAGTACATACAAACATGCCACACCTTTCTTGAGCTCATGTAGTCCGAGCTGCCCGCTCAACTCGTGCTAAACTCATCCTACTCCAAGTAAATGCTTCACTCGCATAAGCGAGACTCGGAAGCAGCTCTGGGCCCACGTCTAGGATGGATGGCAACACAGGATGCGTTGTAGAACACTAGCAATCACTGCTCACTTGGGAGGCATGAAAAAGATTCCTGCAGTGCTTTGGCAGCGCAAACGCTCAAAATTGGAAAAAGCTTGTTGCGGAAGTTTGGTAGCTTGAGATACGAAGGATGTAGTCGCCACAGTTTGTCAAAATCCGCGATATAATCTTCATCGAGGCGCCGGAGAGCGAAGCAGAGATAGCACGGGAGTTTACCAATAAATACGTTGCAACATAAGGATTCCCACTGGTTTGGTATTCGAAAACAAATATATAAACATTCTGGCTTGGGTGCTAAACACTGCTCAGCACCGCTCAAATCGCTGAGCAGGGCCGCCATTGGGCTCCTTAAAGTCCGAGAAGGCTCACGGTGCTAGATCCTTTCAACAGCGATCACTAACTAAAACATGTGAGAAGGCTTTTAAACGTTACTCTAAAGTTTTTTACAAGACGCAGGAAGAGCTGTTTCGTCGTGACCATGCCGTCATGCACGTCTTCGCTGCGGGGGAATCAATGGCATTGCTACTAATAGTAAGCATGGTACTCAGGAGCTGATTCCACTCCACGAAATTCTTTGCCTTTTGGGGAAGAAACAAGGACATTTGGATAAACAGCGTTGCACCGCGCTGCAAGCGAGTCCAATACGTTCATCTGTCCCGTCTGGGTATTTTTCTCGCTAGTGACCAGCGACAGAACAGTTCTCAGCGGCAGCCACAAATATTGCCAGTCTGCACTGGATGCGCAAAAGTTCGCTGGCAGTTACTGAGATCCATTTTCGCTTGCATGAGGGACGAAACTTTGTCCAATGAACCTACAGCCGCGCGCGCAGCTCGGGCATGATCTGCCGACTACTGGCGGCACTCATCATGGTTCCTCTGCAGATTTACGGAGAAGGAGTGGCGATGGCTTAGCTGGTAGATTCCGTTTTTTTCAACGCCGCTCCAAGAACAAACCGTTCCCACCATCGTGGGCTCCTCGACTCGGCGTAGTTTTCAGCTCGTTGGCAGTAGCGTACGTTCTGCTGCTATGTTTCCGTTCTATAGAGGCTGGGCGTCAACAGGCTTCACCTGCTAGATCCCTTGCAGCTGGTGGATATGGACCATGTCGCCCAAGCTTCGTACCTGGGGATGCTGGTGGTGATTCCGGGGCAACGGGGGGAGCGACACAACGTTTCGTGCAGTCACTCCTGCAGGGACAGCGAATGCCACCGCCTCAACAGGCTTTGCAATTCCAAGGGAATGTCGGACTACCGCGCGCCGGAGGGTACGTTGCCGGCCAAGCGGTACAGGGGACTTCTGGAGACGTTTCCCGCAAAGGCTCTTCCACAGGGAATTGGAAGACGCAGGACTTGCACTTGTGGGCGCATTGGAACATGCCTTCAGACGACAGGAAATATCTTATACGCATGCTTAGGCAAATGCTAGAAGCGACGAAGTTATGTGCGTCACTACTGCCAGTCTTAACGCGCAAGCAACAACTGCAGACGGCATTCCAGGTGGTCAGGTTACTCGCCTTGGAATTAGGATCATTTTCATTGGTTAGTAGGGATATAGAGCCTATGAGAATCGCCGTAGGTGACTCTCTCATCCAGTTGGCGATGCAGTCGCTTGAACGCAGTGGGGACGACAAGAACAGGGAAGGCGATCGCGCTTTGCTTCGGGAACTGATTCGTTTGGTCAACGAGGTAAAGCAGCCGTGGTATGTGAAGAGGGAAAAGGCCCCTCATAAGTACAAAAAGAAGATGATAAGCATAATGGCAACTGCTGACGTGATATTGAGGAAATGCGTGGGCGTTCTGCAAGGGCTACTAGTGTTTCACGAAGATTCGTCGCTAAAGAAGTTGCCTACCGAAGTAGTAGCGCAGCAGCTGGAAGTTATAAAGGCGCTCTATCATGTTCACGCTAATTATGTTGCAAGAGACGGCTCGCTTCGAGCACACATGCTGGAGTGTCAGAAACGTACACGCGTGTATGCACTTTTCCGTCACGAACACTACGAGCTGTCGAGAGGAAGGATTGTCCCAGTCAAAGAGTTATACACACAGGTAGAGGAGGCTGTTAGGGTCGCTGGGGGACTTCTACGGCCTGAACAAGAAAGCGCATTGGGGCTTGACAGTGCTGTCGACTCAACGGAAGGGCAGACTGCAGAGGAAGATAGTAAGCCTGAGCAGCTAAGTGAGCCGCTGAGTCCTGAACCGATACAAGGAGCATTATCTCAAACAATTGAGTCTTCCTGTGAGTCCAAAACTTTGGCGGTGAGTGGAGAAGCGGTGAGTGGAGAAGCGGTGAGTGGAGAAGCGGCGGCGGAGGATTCGCCGCAAGGTAAAGCTCCATCACCGTTGGCCGGCAGGTTGCCTGAACAAGGTGCAAGTTCTGGGCCAGCTCTGAAGCCTCCCCCCACAGGGACGTTTGCCGAGAAGGATGTTGAGCAATCGCCACCGCTCGTTTCTACGAAAGCTTCCCAGTCACCAGTTGTTCCGTCAGTGTCTGGGTCGAGTGCAGCAGAACAGGAAGTTTTAGTTGGACACCTAGATTCTTCCGGGTTGGCTACTCCGTCGCAAAGACCTACGTATCCATCAGTCACGCAAAAATCTGGAAGCGCCAATCATGCCAGTTCATCAGGGCAATACAGTTTTCCCGAAAATAGTTCTAGCGCGCATATAGCGCAGTCTACTGCCGTCCTTGCAATGGGTGCAGTTGCGCCGTCTGAACGTTTAGAGTCGCCTGTATCCTCTAAGGAAAAAATTTGCAACTGGATGCAGACACCTGCAGCTCTTGAGGAGAGGGACTGCGGGTGGTTGCAAACACCAGCAACTCCTACAGTACAGGACCACAGGAGGCAGCAGAGTACTGCACCCCTTGAAGACGAGGGTTATACCTGGCTGCATGGAATTGCGCCTGTTCAAGAAGAGGGTTACAGTGTGCATGACACCGCTGCACCTGTTCAGCAAGAGAAGTGGCATTGGCTGCCGACACTTTCACATGTCCAAGGAGAGGATTACAGTGGTTTGCAGACAACTGCTCCCCTTCAAGTAAAGGACCACAGTGGGTTGCAAGCAACTGCAACTGCTAGACAGAGGGATTACGTGCGGCCGCAGACAACTGCACCTGTTCGCGAAGAGGATTACGCCTGGCATAATACAAGTGCCTTCATTACAGATGAGTACAGGTGGCAGCAGGTACCTACACTTCTTCAAAAAGGGGATGACAGGCAGGTGCAGAGAACTGCACTTTTTGCAAATGAGGGCTACAAGTGGCTGCAGAGAACTGCACTTACAGAAAGTGAAAACGTGCTGCAACACACAGCTCCATGTCAGTTGGACGTTTGTAGACGGCAGCAGACAACTGCTCTTTTTGAGAGGGCGCAGCAAAACTGGTTGCGGGCGCCTGCGCTTCTTCAACAGTACGGAGTGTTGCAGCCAACTGCAGTTCCTCAAGAAGGGAATTGGCAGCAGAGAATTACACTTCCTGGAGAAGAGAGAAACAGGTGGCTGCAATCACCTGCACCTCTTCAATACTATTTTTACAGCGGGTCGCAGGCACCTGTGGCTGGAAAAGAAGAGGAGGACAGGGGTCTGCTGACGCGTGCACATCTTCCACAAAAGAATGCCGGCGGGCAGCAAGCAGGCGCACCTTCTCTGGAAGGGGATAAGCGGCCGCAAGCGCCTGCACCTCAAGATGCGTTTTACAGTTTTTTCAGCGGTGGAGGTGTACCTCCCTGGTCACCTTTTTCACAGGCTCTAGCGGGCGCTCCAAACCGAAGCGCCGCTGGAAACTCTGAGTGGTTTGACACTGGGTCCTTTGGCCAAGATGAAGCACTGGGTAGCCATCCGCCCAAGCATACTCAGATTAGCCAACAATGAAACATCGTTATTCCCCCAGCATATGACAAGACGACCTGAGGAGCTGCGAGTTGATACTGACTTGTTTTAAAGACGGTGCTACAGGCGTCTCTTGTACGGCGGGTAAAATCGCATATTGAGACCACTGGTTGTGCTATGGCCCACGTCGATACCAAAGGCCCGTAAGCCACCATATAGGTAACTCTACATTCTTTACGGGCCTCACAGGCCTGAGTCTCAATTTTTATGCTTGATTGCCTTCTGTACCACTGCATTTCAATGTTGTTCTGCTTGTGACTTGTGCAGCGCCCTGGACGATGCAGGCTTACAATTGGTCTGCAGTTTTCCGTTCAGGGAATTTTTTGGACCGCGCTGAGCGCAATAGTGTTTCGTGTTGCGCATAAGGCTTCATACATGATTGCTGTCTTCTGCCTTGATGTTAGTGTGCGTTGCAGTAGTCGAGCACGCCAAAGTACTGTCTTTGACACGTGTGCCATCCATTCTAATGAAATTTATGTTGCCGTCGTTCATGTTGATTTGTTCGACATTTTAAATGTTTCAGAAGGACGTTTTTTTTCAGTTCTTGGTTTTCCAGCGGATGCTCCATGGGTGCGCATAGGAGACACAGCCTCACTTGCGTCTTTCAAGAAGTTTTTTAGAAGAACAACCACGTGGAGCGGTAGCAAAAGCTAGGCGTATCTTCCGGAACTAGGCGCTGCATAAGTAGCCATGTGAGTATTATGCATTGAACGGAATCCATGAACTCGTCAAATACCTCACTAGTACAACTTACGCCGGGGGCATTTTGAGTAAAAAGCGGCAGAACCACATGAAAAAAACAATGACTAGGCACGTCAGTGCACACTTTTCGCCCGGATGAAGGAACGGCAGGGTGGACGCCGATGGCGCCATTAGAATGAAAGAAGGGCTCACAAATGCGCGCATAAATGTATGGCGCCAGTTTACGTGCCTCTGAAGCATTGACTGCGGAATGTAATGTACTTTAGAGGAGCCATATTGCTAATTGGGCCACTGCAGAGTGCCTTCGTCCTAAACGATGCACGGCCGATATTGCCAGTCCGTAAGATAGGGGGACGGCGCCCTATAGTACATGATCAAGTTTGGCATCTCACTTGAGCAGGAATGCCGCACGAACAGAATGTGGTGCAGGCCATTACAGTGCGAACCAATTATTTATTTCCCTATGCTAATCCTACTCCACTTGGAGGTATAGGTGTAGCGTGTCCTCAGTGTGCGACGCATTTCAAGGCCAAGGTGTACGGTTTTAAAAAGAAAACTAGAGTTTCCATATTTTTCTTGCATAAGCAAACGAAAACACCAGAAGGCACACTAAAAGGGCACCAGAAGGCACACCAAAAGGGCGATACGGCGTAACGCCGCATGCCACCAGCAGAAGTGCTTCGAGACAACCTGCTGGAAGCAGGCAATCTTACCAGTAGCCTGCCAAATATGCAAACCATTTACGTGTTGATTTTTAAGTCAAATTAACGCTGACAAGGGCCAGGGGATAATATGTACGGCGCCTAGGCAGGAATACGCAGCGAACAAGGACCATCGATCACCGAGTAACAGCTTTGCTACTCGACCTGGTATCTTGCGAGTAGGTTAGGTTCTTCATGTCCAATGTAATGCCCTCACAATAAGGATATAAAATTTATCCTATTGACTGTCTTCTTCAAAAACGTGCAGTTGAAGCTTCCGTAGCTCCCAAGGAATGGGATCCTTTTTGAGTCCTTCCCTTTACTGAACGACCAGCGGCAAAGCGGACGCTTTGCTGGGAATTCAGTGCAGGTTTATGTCTTCTCGTTGCTTGCAATCACAAGCCGAGAATCCCATGATTGACTCTATTTAGCTGTAAGGATTCTTGGTCGCTACTCAACTCAGCCGTCATGAACAGGGTTCATAGCTGAACAGTGCCAAAGTGACTGTTTTCATGAGCTGTCACAGAAAGCTCTGGGCTCTCGACTTGAGACCTTGTTCCCAAAGCTCTCATTATTAGATTTTGTCAGGAGCAGTTCCGTTATGATCGCACCGTTATTCTTCTCTCGGTTGGGTGTACTTTGATGAGCTGTCTTTTTCGGGGAGTTATGACGCCCTGACTGTGAACATACAGACTGTTTTAAAATATTACACATAATTTCCTGTATGCATGAGTCCCTAGGACAAGCTTTCTGCTGATTTGGCATTGTTCTCTTTTGGTCTTGGGGTTCATTGTCGAAGCTTATGCTCTTCGGGGTTGGGGAACTGCCGACGTGGCTGGTGGTGACAGGAGTCACAATGCCCCAGAAGCTGCTTTGAACGTCAGCATTACCATAGCATGGGCCAGCAAAAAGCAACAGCTTGCTTTGTTCCGGCCAAAGAACAGCAAAGTGTCCTGAACAGCAGCTAGAATAGTGCCAGCCTGCGCTACATGGACGGCATTCGGACAGAAAACAAAGGAAATCTGGCAAAAATTGCGGCCTTGTCCCCCGCAGACGCGGGGGACAAAGCTCGATCCAATGAATCAACTGTCGCTTGAGGAGTTCAGGCACGACCTGTCTTCCTCTGCCTCCACTCATTCACATTCAAGGAGAAATGCTGTCCAGAGCTCCGCGGATGGGTCGTTTTTTGTCCAGCGCGCTCCCAAAAGCAAGTTGTTTCCATTGTCTCTGGCTCCTCGACTCTGCGCAGTTTTCAGCTCGTTAGCAGTAGCGTATGTTCTGCTGCTATGTTTCCGTTCTATAGGGGCTGGGCGTCAGCAGGCTTCACCTGCCAGATCCCTTGCAGCTGGTGGATATGGACCATGCCGCTCAGATTTCTTACATGACGATGAAGAAGATGATGACGGGGAGACGGGGGGTTGGGCACAACGTTTGGTGCAGTCACTCCTGCAGGAACAGCGAATGTCACCGCCTCAACAGGCTTTCCAATCTCAAGGGAATGTCGGACTACCACGCGACGAAGGATACTTTGCCGGCCAAGCGGTACAGGGAACTTCCGGAGACGTTGCGGGCGGTGGCTCTTCCCCAGATAGCTCGAAGACGCATGACTTGCACTTGTGGGTAAATCGAAACATGCCAACATGTGAAAGGGAGTTTCTGTTGCGGACGTTTGGTCGGATCGTACAAGCGACGAGGTTGTGTGGGTCTCTTCTGACAGTCATGACGTGCAGGCAACGCCTGTATTTTACATTCCATGTGGTGAGGTTGCTTGCCTTGGATTTGGGAGCACTTACATTAGTTAAGGAAGATATAGAGCCTACGAGGAGCGCCGTAGGTGACTGTCTCATCCAGTTGGCGAAGCAGTCGCTTGAACGCGGTGGGGACGACGAAGGCAATGAAGGCGATCGTATCGCGCTTCGTGAGCTTATCGTTTTAATTCGTGAGATTAAGAAGCCAAGACTTATTGATCAAGAAAAGACCCCCACTAAATACAAAAAGAAAATGATAAGCATACTGGCAACTTCCGACACAGTATTAAGGAATTGTTTGGGCGTTCTGAGGGGGCTACATCGGCTCCAGCAAAGCTTATCGCTGAGGAAGCTGCCGGCTAGCGTATTAGTACAGCAGCTCGGTGTTTTGAAGGCTCTTTACCATGTCCACGCCGACTACCTCGCAAGGGATGGTTCACTTCGGGCACACATACTAGAGTGCCAGAAGCGTACGCGTCTGTATGTGTTTTTTGGTCGGGAGCACTTTAAATTGTCGAAAGGTAAGATTCTGCCAGTTAAAGAACTGCAGAGCCAGATAAGTGCAGCTGTAAGGGCCGCTGGCGGACTTCTACAACGTGGACAAGGAAGTGCATGGAAGCGTGAGAGTGATGGCAGCGCAATGGAGGAGCAGACTGAAGAGGGAAGTGGTGAGTTTGAGTCGCTGAGTAGGCTTGCCGGTAACGAACTGCTACAAGGTGCATTGTCTCAAGCAATTCAAGCTTCCTATGAGGACAGAACCTCGGAAGCGAACATAGATACGGACCCGGATGATACGCTGCAAGGTGAAGCTTCACCGCCTTGGTCTGACTGGTTGCTTGAGCAAGGTGCAAGTGCTGGGCCAGCTTTGATGCCCCCCACCACAGACAGATTTGCCGGGAGGCCTGTTGAACAACCGCCGCAGTTTGTCTCTCCGCAGACCTTTTTGTCAGCCGTTGGCATGTCGGTGTTTTGGTCGCCAGCAGCAAGAGGGGGAGCTCTACATGGGAGCCCATATTATCCCGGGGCCTACGCTTCCTCTGCAAGACCCTTCCAGATGTCAGCTGCTTCGTATGGTGCACCTTTTTTTCAAGGCAGCTCATCAGCACAGCACGTCTCTGCAGGACAGACTGCTACAGCGCATTTGATGCAAGCGCCTCTGATGCAGCGGACGGATGTAGCTGCTACAGCGCATTTGATGCACTCGCCTCTGGTGCAGCGGATGGATGTAGCTGAGCCGTCTGCGTGGCTGGAGACGCGTGCGCGTTCTCAAGAAGAGCGTCAGAGCAGGCTGCAGCTGCAGAGATCTGCTGAGCTTCAAGAGGATTACATGTGGTTAGAGGGACCTGCATCTATGCAAGAAACGGACTACAGTCTTTTTGGGGATGGCGGCATACCCCCCTGGTCGCCTTTTCCACAAGCGCCAGCCGAATCTATAGAGAGTCCCGTCACTGCAAGCAGCGACTTCCCGGGCAGTCTGGGGGGCGCAAGCTTTCGCTTTCGCAGGACGGAAGGCCAGGACGAAGCGGGCGTTGGCCGCCTGGGTGGACGTATTCGGAGCGGCCGCCAATAAAATGTTATTTTTTGCAGCACAACGCAAGCGGCCTTGGAAAGTGCCAGTTGAAGCTTACTTCCTTCAAGGACAGTGCACACGGCGTCACGTTGTGCCACGGACAAACACGCATTTTAGATCACTGATTCAGTTGTGAGCCACCGCAGTGCGGGACAGCGTCGCGCCTCCATGTGCACAATGATGCACAGTGCGCGTACACTGCAGCTGCGGTTCTGTGTTCCGCTTCACCACTGCAGATCAACCTCGCTCTCCGTGCTTACAGAGCTGTGCAGGATGCCGGGAACTTACCGGGGGCTTATTCAAATTTTTTTCTTTGTATGACCGAAGCGAGGATGAAACAGAGATGCCACTTTATGGGCGTCTGCACCTTGCGTATTTCTTCTACTTTCATGTGTTCAACATTTCGGAAGCGCTAGGAAGACCTTTTCGTTCAGTGCTTGGTCGCTAAGCGAATGCACGATGCGTGTGCACGCCAGGCACAGCTTCGTCACCATGTGTTGTGCAGAAACTTTTCAATCCAGAATTAGTGCCGCAGTGGGAACTATAGACACTTTTGCGGGAATCGGGAAGTTTTTTGTAGCCATGCATGCGCGGCGTTTACTGCGTACTTGAGTCCATCAAATGGACCACCACGACAACTTGAACCAGAGGCTCTTTGAGTAGTGAAATGGTGGGAGAATATGCAAATAACATGAAGAGGGAGGGCCAAAACACATTCCTGTGCGTTGCAGAGTTCGCGGAAAAAGCACTGAGATGCATGCACCAGATCTGACGGCGATATAAGTTACACATGCACACATTCAGTGCTAGTGTGCTGGCCGCTAACTTGTTGGATGAGAAGTTGAACAGGGTTTTACAATACACTTGTGTTAGGAGCAGTAGGAACACGGGACGCCCCAACTGCTCCCCTACTAAAAATGCGCTGTGCCCCTCCAGTTAAACACGGAGTGTGGTGCCTTATTTGTGCAGGAAGTGAATGAAACTGTGGCTTAAGCCATCGGAACTTATGACAAACCGTGACATTCGAATGTGTAGCTCGTCACAGTTGGCAGGAACTGAGAAAGGAACTGAGAAATGCACGTGTGACGCATTTGGAAGTGGACGCAGTTGGGGGTAACTCCCATATTTTGTACTCTTTTTGCAGTCGGCAACGAGTCAAAAGGGAGAAGCAGTTCTCCATCTTGTGAAAGAGCAGTGAGGTGCAGCAATTTGAAGACCAGCGCACATTTAGCATCCGGGGCATGCACAAGAAAACAGTTAACCGCAAAAGGTTCGGAAGTTCTGCCACCAGCGTTTGACAAGTTAGAACACTACTTTACGCCAACGGTCAATTACAAATGAGACCAACAAGGACGTGGAGGCTAGCCCTGTGACGTCACAGAAGGAACCAGTCCACAGCGTTGTAGGGCCATCATCGATCACCAGCCGAATCAACCAGCAGTTAACATGGTGCGTTGTGAGATTTCCTGTTAGGTCGAACCCATTTTAAATGGTAATATTTAGTTTAGTCCTCTTAGATTATCTGCTCCGAAAGTGTGCCCGTGGCTGTTTGTGTAGACGCAACAATATTTCTGTTGGGGCGCTTTGCGCAGTGGGGAAATAGAGGCAGGCCGGAGGTTGGGCGAAGAACTCACTGTAGCACTAGGATCTCTGACTCCTTCCTCATCACAAAAGAAATTTCATATTGATGACTCCGATACGGAGATAATTATTGCTTAAAAGAAGCCAACATGGCAAGCATAGCGAATGCCCCTCGCTGATTTCACGAACCTTTCTCAACCTTTCTCGGGTACAGACGGGGGTATCGAGTTGCCCAAGTGAGGTACTCGTAAGCTGTTGCTTATGTCTAGCTCTAGCCAAAGGCATTGTCAACAGGAGCTTTGTGATAATTATGTTATTGTCCGCTTCGGGGTCGAAAGTTCCACGGCGAGCTTGCTGCTGATGGGGATACACTAGGCCTTGACAGTGGCGTAGAACGGACAGTTAAGATTTCGCGCTGACTATACCAGCGCGCCCTTTGGGGCTGGAGATCTATGGGCAGCCATGCTGCTAAAGGTAATTTAGACGCCTTAAATGCTGAAATAAACGTCAATCTCACTGTGGTTTCAACCAGCAAGAAGCGACAACTTGCTTGCTTACATCTTGTTGAGGGAGGACCGTAACCAAGATCAATGTTTCATATTTGGGCATCAACGTTTTCAAAACTGTCAGCATTTTCGCAAGCAGGGGAGGCGCAAAGCAACCTCAGAGAGTGCTTAGCAGTTGTCGCAGGCAGTGCCATCTTTCACTGCATCTGCAGCACTTGTAGAGGAGCCAAAGGAAGTTGGCAGTACGTGGCGTTTTGCCCCCACTTAAGCGAGGGACATAATCCGGTCCAATGAACCCGATGGACCATGAACAACTCGGGCACTACCTGCCGTCCTCTGAAACCACCCACCAAGCTTTCGACTCACGTTTATGGCGGCTTACTGGCCAGGGAGTAGCGGAGAGGCTGGCTTTCGCCCCGCGCTCGGAAAACATTCCTTTTTCCCAGTCTTGTGCTCGTCTGATTGGCGCAGTCCTCGCGTCGTTGGCAGTAGCGTACTTGCTGCTGATTTGCTTTCGGCCTGTGGAGGCCTGGAGGCAGTGGGCCCCAGTCCCTCGCTCGCTCGCAGCTCTAAGAAATGAACCTTGTTTAGGCAGCATGCGCGAGGATGGCAGTGACGAAGAGGAGCACGAGTCCGCAGAAAAGTGGACAGAGCCTGTAGTGCAGCGGCGCTTTGGGAGCAGCAGCTCCTCTCTGGATCGTCAGGTTTCCGAATCCCAAGAGCCAGAAGAACCCGCCGCAGGGCCAGAAGAAAGCGCGGCTAAAGAGGACTCCGCCGAGGCGAAGAGCTCCGCAAATGCTGCTGGGGACTCCCCTTCCGCAGAAAGCAAAAGGGAAGACGACTTGGCCTTGTGGGAAGACGGCCAGCTGCCCCCCACGGAGAGGGGCTACGTTGGCTGCCTCTTCAACCGCATGTACAAGGCTGCGAAGCTCTGTGGGCATCTGCTGCCAGCTCTGTCTTGCAGGCAGCGCCTGCTGCTGGCCTCGCAGGTGGTGATGCTGGTGGGCGTGGACTTGGGAGCTTTTGCGCTGGCCAAGGTCGAAGTGGTGCCCACAAGAGGCACTGTTGGCGACGCGGCCATCCACTTGCTGCGGCAGTCCCTCGAGTGCAGTGGGGAGGAGAAGGGCAACGAGGGCCTCCGTCTTGGCGTGATGCAGTTGATGGTGTTGATGAGTTCTTTGAAGCTGCCCCGGCAGTTCGAGGGGGGAAAGAACACTGCCAAGTTCCGCAGGAAAATGGTAAGCATACTCGGGACTGCGGACGTAGCTCTGAAGAGCTGCCTGGGCGTCTTGGGAGGCATGCTGCGGCTCAAGAGAGAAGTGTCAACGAGCACACTTCCTCTGGAAGCTGTGGAGCAGCAGCTGAATGTTCTGAGGTCCATTTACCGAGTCCACGCCGACCACATTGCGAAGGACTGTCTGCTGCGCGCGCAAATCGTGGAGTGTCAGAAGCGCACTGGGGTGTACGCGCTGCTGGGGCCCCAGCAGTTCTTGGAAGCCAAGTCCAGAATTCTCCCAATAAAGCAACTTCGAGACATGATCCGAGACGCGGTGACTGCGGCTGGCGGGCTTCTGCCGTTCCAGCGGCCCGTTGCAGAGGAACTGAGCAATCCTAAAGGCGCGGCGGAGGGGCGCGGAGAACGGAGAGGTTCCTACAGGGAGTTCGACGAACACGTGAGCAGCAAGTCGCTGCAAGAAGAGTTCGCGGAAGCTGTGCGCTGTTCTTTTGACCCCGAAACTTTGCTGCTGCACGACGCAATGAAGGCAGAGGCTTCACGAACAGTCAGACCTCCACCGTGGCGAGTTGGGCAGCTGTCTCAACAAGGAGTTGGACCGGCTTTGCAGCCCCCACGTGCACTTCATTCCTCCGAGGCTGATCGTGACAGGGGGCCACACCTTGTCCCTGCAGATGCCTTTCTGTCGGCGGTGGGTCTGTCAGTCTTTCGGTCACGGACAGCAGAACAGGGAGGTTGGAGTGGCCCGCTGTATGCTTCTTGTCTGGATAAATCCTCACTGAGGCCCTTAAATCTGTTAGCGAAGCTTGACAGTTTCCCCGACTCTGCTGATCGCTCATCAGAACAGCACGCTTCTGCTGGTCGCAGGGCTGGAGTGCATTTGGCGCGATTCACCGCGCAGCCTCCGACCGGTGTAGGTGAGCCATCTCAGCGGCTGCAGACACCTGCAACCCTTCCCGCAGAGGGTTATAGTCTTTTTGGAGATGGTGGCATACCTCCCTGGTCACCTTTTTCAAGACTGCAAGCTCACTCTAATGAGAGACGCGCCACTACGAGCGGCGGATGGCCGGACAGTCAATGAGGAGAAAGCGTTTACATTCGCGGGGCGTACTGTCAGGACAAAGCAGGGTACAGCCATCCGCGTGACTGTACTCGAAGTAAGCGCGAATAAAATGCTATAATCCCCTCAGAACAAGGGAAAACGATCTCAGGGACTGCCCGTCCAGGCTGGTTTGTCCTAGTGCTGATGGCGCCGCCGTTCTGTACGAGGGCCAAAAGCGCAGGTTCAGACCACTGTTTGAGCTGTGAAGCAGCGTATTGATTGGGGGCTTTGCGGCACCCTACATAGAGTAATGCTTTCTGCAGAGACCATACAACTCCAGTTCTCCGTTGTAGTGCTCTCGTTGCGCTCATCATGCAAGTGGTAGTGGGTACCTGCGTTCACGACCATCGGAAACCAACCTCCTTCTGCGTGCAGCTAGCGCAGCGCTGCGCGTGATGTAGGTGTTTCGTCAGGGGGTTGCGCTTTTCCATTTAGTTGATTTTACAAAGTGCGCGGAGCGCGCTGTAGACTTTTGCGATAATACGGCTTTATGCTTGATTGCCGTGCAGTTAATCTGCTTCGGGATAGCCGTGCAAGCCAGTGTACTTTGAGACGGGAACTCAGGTTTTCTGTATTGCATGACTGAGGCGAGCGTTGAACACTGAGGCGACTGCCATGGATTACGCTTTTCATTACGGCAACTATTGGTAGGTACGCCGAGAAGGCGTTTTACGTCACACTTTTTTGTCCAGGAGGCGTGGTCATACGGTGTTTCGATGTTCGTGGACAACCTGATAATAGTGGCAAGAAATAGAAAGTGCACACATTAGTGTTACGGATCTACTCTATCGGCCTCTGGCGTGCTGGGTGGAAAATGCAGTGAGACTTCAAGCTGATTTGTAGTGGCAGCAGGTGGGGCGCTGCAGCCGTGTTAGAAAGTAGTGAGGTAGGATGCCTCACTTTTCGTGGGAGCTAAAACCAACTGTGTGCCCTCGCCTTTGGTAAATGGCTTGTTCGGCCATTACAACACCGAACAAACCATTTTCCAAAGGCTAGCGCAGTGCAGTCTGATCGCACTCAAGGCGTGGCCATGTGTGAGGCATCTGGAGACGTAATTGGCACATTTGGAGACAGCGTTCTCTTCCCATACTGTTATTTTATTCATAGGCGAGAAATTTCCGCTGGATCTGCTAGAGGAGCTGTGGGGCGCACAACTTCACTGCCTCGGAAGATGTCGAGGCTTCGACTGTGCAAACAACTGGCTGAAACTGAAGGAATCTTCCACTAGCATTTGACTAATATGTAAATTCACACGCGCTGATTGAAGATTCAAAACGTGCTTATGAAGTGGCCAGGGATTATCTCTGTGCTGTTACGGGAGTAACCACTGCACAACCTACTCGTGCCATCGGTCGCCAGCACTGGTTCTGGTACTGTGGTGCACGTTTCGCTGTATCTAGTCAATGCCAATGTGAGTAAGCAGAGCCAGGCTCTAAATTTCTGGCTTTTTGTTACAAAGATGAAATTAGGGCTTCGTTAAGGGCCACAGGATGCAATTCTCTCGCAGACAGTTCTCTGCAGTGGGGAAACAGAAACAGCTTGAACACTTCGTTGCAACTCCAGAATTTGCATTTTCTTCATCAATACAGTAACAAACTTCATCTTAATCTCTATGGTTTGACTGCAATCATTGCTGTCTACCAGACAACTCAGCAGTTCCGATGAGAAGGGTTCTTTGCTGAGCAAACACACGAGCTGCTCTTGTCTGCTGCCACAAGAGGCTCCGGGGTTTGCCGAATGATATAGCTCTGAGATCCTGTGTCTCGCTTCCCGCTGTCATACATCTTCAGAAGAAGCTCGGTAATGACTGTACGTTTTCGCTTTCCTCGGTCGCAGATCTCTACAAGGACGTGCTGGTAAGAAGAATCAAGTTCAATTGGATAAAGATAGCCCTGAAGTTATGTAATCAAGTTCTTATTAACATATTTCCCGAGGAATCGCTCAGTGCTGACTATGTCACTGTGTGCCTAGACTTACCGTCCATTGACGAGATTGTTGATACCGGGAATCGAGGAAACAGAAACGTTAAGTTCAACCTAAGCATTGCCTTGGCTTTGAACTGAAAGACGTATCAACGGGCCTTCTTTGCAGCTTGATGAAAGTGGCTTGTAAACCAAACCAATGTTTTCCTACTGGGGACTTTCAAGGCGTCGATGGGCAGGGGAGTTGCACACCAGCGGTTAAAAGTGCTTGACAGTACCCGCAAGATAGCGGCAGCCTGCTCTGCATGTAATTCTTTTGGATATCAATTGGGAGTGCATTGACAAGGACTGAGGCTTCGAACCTACGCAAGTGAGAGGCAGAGTCTGGTCCCATGGACTCGCTTGACTGCGAACAGCTCAGGCACGACCTGCCGTTCTTTGATATTACTCGCCAAGGTTCCGAACCAAATTCACGGCAGCGATTTGATCGAAGAATTGGGGATGAGTTGGTTTCTAGCCAGCTCACCGGGAGCAAGAAACTGTTTTTATCGAGGTGGGCTCGCCTTCTCGGCGTTGCATTCACCTCCTTAGGAGCAGCGTACTTTCTGCTACTTTGTTTTCGCTTTATAGAATCCGTGAAGCAGTGGTCCCCGCCCACGCGATCTTTGGCAGCTCATCAAGATAGATCGTGCCCTCCGGGCAACGTGCGTGGGATTGATGATGAAGGTGACTATGGGGCAACAGGACAGTGCACACAAGATTTAGTGCAGCAGCGCTCTGAAGACTGGGGCCTTTTGCAGCGTCATCAGTCCTCCGGATTACAAGGAACTGCAGAGGTCGCACAAGATGAAGTGGATAATGCGAGCGCAGTTGAAGAGACAACTCCTGAAAACGTTGCCGCTGTCAGCTCTTCTATGAGCAATTTGCAGGATTTTGATTTGCACCTGTGGGCTAATGGAAACATGCCTGCGGAAGAAGAGGAGCGCTTAATGCGCCTGTTTAGGCGCATGCTGATTGCCGTGAGGGTATGCAGGTCGATACTGCCAGCACTAACGTGCAGACAACGCATTCAACTTACATTCCGCGTCGCGAGGTTAGTTGCCTTGGATTTGGGAGCAGCTTCAATAGTTAATAATAAGAAAAAGGCGCGTATAAGAAAATCCGTAGGCACCTCCCTCGTCCAATTGATAAAGCACTCACTTGGGCGAGTGGGCGAGGACGAGTGCAATACAAGACATCGCCACAACCTTGAAAGATTGATTATTTTAATTGACGAGCTGAAACAGCCGCGGCAGAATGAAGAAGAACCTAGGGCTGAGAAATATAAAAAGAAGATGCTTGGCATACTGGCAACTGCTGAAATTGTATTGAAGAACTGTCTGCGCGTTTTGGACGGGCTGGCGCTGCTTTGGGAAAATACATCGGCCAAGAAACTCCCACCGCAAGTAGTAGAACAGCAGCTCAACGTTATGAAATGGATGTATGACGTCCACGCTGACCATATTGCCAGAGACGGCTGCCTTCGAGCACACATTGTGGAATGCCAGAAACGTACACGTGTGTACGCACTTTTAGATAGGGAAAAATTCACCGTGGCCACTGCTGTGATTCTTCCGTTGAGAGAGTTGCAGAATCAGATAGCTGAGGCTATTAGGGCTGCTGGTGGTCTTCTACCTTCTCAGCGGACATCACCACGGGGGCCTTACAAATTTAGCCGTGCTTTGGAGGAACAGCAGCGAAAGAGTCAGCACGAAGAGCAAAGCGAACCGTCAGGCAGCAAACCGATGCAGCAAAATTTCGTGGAAGAAGTGCTTCCTCCTGACCTTAAGCAGCCACAAACATGGGGGCCCGACGGAGCTAACCGCGCATTGGAGGGACAGGCGGAAGATAGAACGAGTCAGCAACAGGAGCAACGTGAACCATCAGGCCACAATCCATTATGGCGAAATTCCGTGGAAGGCGCGCCTTCTTCTGATGTTGCATCTTCGGCAGCGAGTAAGGGGATAGAGATGGGGGGTTCGTCGCCAATTATATCTCCACCGCGGCGACTTGACCGGCTCACTCGACAAGGCACTGAAGCAGCTTTGCAGCAAACCCCCACACCTACTTTTTCCGGCACTTCTCAGGATCGATATCCAGAGTTTGTTTCTCCGCATGACTTCCCGTCACCGTTTGGTCTGTCGGTATTTTGGTCGCAAACAGCAAGAGAAGGAGCTGTAGGGCAATCTTCTTCTTTAGCGCAAACTTCCTTCGGAAGAACTCCCCATCATTCAACTGTAGAGCATGTTACAAGCCTTCCTCATAGCGTCACATTGCAACATGCAACTGTTGGTCGCAGCGCTGATGTACATTTGGTGCCCGCTGCTTCTCCCTCACCGTTGGATTCACGTGAGTCTTCGGGGTGGCTGCAGCCACCTGCACCTTCTCATGAAGAATATTACAGTCTTTTTGGAGGTGGTGGCATACCTCCCTGGTCGCCTTTTTCAAAAGCGCCGGCTGGCTCTACAAACAAACGCACCGCAAGCCATGGGTGGTGGAGCATTGATGGTGGGGAAAGCCCTCACTATCCTACGACCTTTGACCACCGCGAATGAAATAATAGCCTTCGGCGTTAGCCTTCGGCGTTACCGTAGTCGGAACGGCAGCGAATGACGTGTTGCTTTTCCAACACAAGGTGTACCGACATTAGGAATTGTGAGTTGAGACTAAAACTAATCTTGAAGTCATCAGGCTATGCTTCGGGTGAAAACATATTCACGCAACCGGCTGGGCTGTACATCACGTGAATAAGCGAGCGCTCTGTGCCACCCACCAGACACATGCATTCTGCACAGTCCTTACAGTTCTATTTCTCACAGCGTTTGTTACGCTCACTGCCACTTTAAATGAATCTGGCTCCGCATGTAACATCTGTAGCGCTCTGAGCTTTGCAGGGAGTTTACTATGGCTTTGCACCTTTCCATTTAGGTAATCTTTTGAGCTGAGCACGTCATAGCATTGGGCGACCAATAAAACTTTATGCGTGATTTCCGTATTGTATTGATGTTGATATGCACTGCAGTAGTTGGACAAGCCAAAGTAATGCAGGACAGATGCACTTTGTGCTTTGCATGATCGAGGCGCGAGTGAGAAACCGAGGCTACTATCACGGATAACTTTGCCTTTTGCCCCAGTCTTGTCATGGTTCCATGTTGGGTTGTTCGACATTTTGGGAGGTTCGAAAACACACTTTATTCAGAGCCTGGTTGCTCAGCGTATGCTCAGTGGATGTGCATCCGAGGTTCACCTCGGATAACGCCATTTTTTTTTTCGCGAAGCAAGGTAGATGGCACGGCAGCGCAAACTGGGATTTTTTGGCGAAGTTAGGGGCGACAGAAGCACTCATGAGAGCACAATGTCTTGTACTGCATTTTTCAGCTTGTCAAATGCCTCATCAGCATGTCGCTTACAACGGATGCTCTGAGTGGAGAAGGGCGGAGAGAATGCCACGAAGGTGGATGAGGCCACATCTTTGTGTGCTGAGTGCGTGATGAAAGAACATCAAAATGAAGACAGGTCACGTGACAGCGGCGGACGGGAGTCACATGTATACGCATTAATGCCACATTGTGCTATTCGTTGCGGTTCGGAGGCACTGGGTGCGATATGGAGTACTATTGTACAGTAGCCATGTAGTGGATAAAACGGACGACGCTTTCGTGAAGTAAGTCGTCAATTATGGCTCCTTGCTTGCGCAGAAAGCTGGTACTAGCGGCTCCAGGTATAGGGACTAACGGCTTTAGGCATACATAATCAGGATGCTGAATTAAGTTTCCACCTCTGGGAGCAAACTATCGTGGACATGTGTGCGCCTTCACCACGCAAGGCTGCCATAGTTAAGAAAAAATCATGTTTTAAATGTTTGTCCTGCAACTAACGGCACAACAAGTTTCTGAGTTATTATAAAAGAGCAACGAGGCGTACCAACTACCACTGCACATGTGCAGTTGGTCCGTGTGCAAACACGTGTTTGCACAAACCGTGCTCTAGAGGCAAAAAAATCCACGAGTATCCGCAGGAAAATACCTGAAATCATTTGTTTTATTACTAAAGTTGAATCTTTGCTAAGCGGCGTTCGGGCACTGTATGTGAGAGTTCATCGATGGAACCAATGCGTAATCGATCGCTCACATGGGACACGTAGGTACTTCTTGTGGTAGATTGCGGGTACACTTTACATGAGCACTGTGCCAGCCCCTGGATTTGCACATTTTAATTTCAGCATTGCGATTGCTTGGGATTACATTTCTCTTCGACGCTTCTTTGAGGGCGACGAAATAGAAGGTCCCGCAAGATTATCCTGTGGAATAGGGAATTAAAGACAGGACAACAGCTTGACGAGGGACCCACTGCAGCGTCAGGATTTCCCATCTTCTTTTGAATAGAGAACGCGTTCCACGCTCATGATTTCGATATGGAGATAAACGTTGTAGATCATTGCTCTACTCAGCGGTGAAGGAGAATTTCAACGACGAACACTGTTATGTTCGTGGACTGATATCATAAGCTGCCGTGCGGGGCTTTGAATTGCATATATGCGACATCGTTGGAACCCTGCTTCAAAATTTCCACTAAAAGACACTTTCGGGGGAGGTTTTGTTGTGACTTTGCCGTTGTGCTTCCCTGTGCCGAAGATCTGTCGACAAGCCTGCTGGGATCTATGAAACTCGTAAAGTATGATCATAGGCAGCCGTTAAACCTAACGTCTGAACTTCCTAAAACATATTTATTGAAGAATGCCCAATTCTGGCTTTGCCACTGTGCTGTTTTGGGCTGGGGGGTACGCCGCCAAGCTCCCCGGTATTAGGAATCGCGCCACTAGAAATTGAGTTGAATCTTGACATCATCCCGTCGTTTCAGCCACGAAGAAGCATCGATAAGCCTTCCCACATCTTGCTGAAGGCGGGCTGGCGACGAAACCAATGCCTACAGCTTGATGAAAGGGGATCGGCTGCCAAATCAATGTGTCGCTCCTCGGGAGTGTTACTGCACTGATGAACGAGGGTGATGCGCAGTTGCCTTAGCGAGTGTTCAAGAGTAGGCACAAAGCGTATCAGCTTCCACTACATTGACAGAGTCTGGACGGGATATAATAACAAGCTAGTAAGGGTTGAGACATTTTCCTCACGTACACAAAGGGCAGAGCCTGGCCCAATGAACACACTGCCTCAAGAACAGCTCTGGCATGAGCTGCAGTTCCTTGGCATCCCGCATCAAGTTTCAGATTCACATTCATGGAGGCTTATTGTCCAAAGATCTGGTGATGAACCACTTCTTTCCCAGCGTCCCACCAACATAAAACTGTTTTCATCGTCTCGGGTTCGTCTTCTCCGCGTGGTATTAGCGTCGTTGACGGCAGCGTACCTTCTGTTGCTCTGCTTTCACTTTGTAGAATCTGGGCATCAGTGGACTCCGCTCACTAGAGCTCTCGCAGCTCACCGAGGTGAACCATGTGAATCAGGCAAAGCGCCTGCAGGTGATGAAGGTGGCGGTGAGCCAACAGCAGAATGGACACAATTTTTTGTGCGGGGACGATTTGGGGACAACAGCCGTTTGCCGTTTCCTCAAGCTTCTGGACGGCGAATGTCTTTCGGAAGAGTGCACCAAAGCGTAGAAGCTGACGCTGAAGCTGGAGAGGGGACTTCTAGAGGTACTGTCGCTGTTACTCCTACTGCGCGAAGTTCAGGCAATGGCTTGTATTTGTGGGAAAACAGGAACCTGCCTGAGGATTACGGAAAACGACTACTGTGTCTCTTTGATTCCATGAAAGAGGCTTCGAAGTTGTGTAGCTCACTGCTGCCAGCGTTAACTTGCACGCAACGCATGCAAGTGACGTACCATGTAGTGAGGCTGATCGCCTTGGATTTGGGAGCCGCTTCGTTAATTAGAGAGGATAAGGAGGCTAAAAGAAACGCGGTAGGCGATGCTCTCATCAATTTGATTAAGCGTTCACTTCAACTAGGGGGCAACCAGGAAAGCAATGAAAGAGTTCGGAGCAAGCTCAGCAAATTGATGGAGCTAGTGACTGAGATTAAAAAACCGCGGCAAATCGGCGAAGAAAAGAGCGCTGAAACATATAAGAAGAAGATGATAACTATCGTGGCAACTGCCGAAACGGTGCTAAATAATTGTCTCTGCGTTTTGCGTGGGCTGCTACAGCTTAAGGAAGCTACGTCGGCAAGGTCGCTTCCACCGAAAACAGTTGAGCAGCAATTGCAAGTCCTAAAGTCATTATACAGCGCCCACGTTGATCATGTGGCTAGAGACGGCTGTCTTCGACAACACATAGTAGAGTGCCAAAAGCGACAACGTGTGTATGCGCTTTTAGATCGCGAGCATTTCACTGTTTCCAAAGAAGCGATTTCTCCACTAAGAGACTTACAAAACCAGATAGTTCAGGCGGTTGTGACTGCTGGCGGTCTTCTGCCTTCACAACAGTCACGCACACGAGAGCATGATAGCGCTAGTGGCGCACTGGAGAAACCAACTGGAGAGAGAAAGAATCAGCCTAAGGAACAAAGTCGGAAGTCAGGTGACAAGCCACTGCAGGAGGAGTTCGTGCAAACCGAGCACTTTCCCTCTGACCCCAAAACTTCTGCAGCACATAGAGCAGTGAAGGTAACGCATTCGCCGTCAACCGGAATTCAACCTTGGCGACCTGACGGGCCGCCTCGACAAGGTGCTGGACCTGTTTTGCTGCAACCCCGTACACTTAGTTTTTCCGGAAGATTTCGACACCCTTGGCCGCCGGTTGTCTCTCTGCAGGACATTTCATCAGCGCGTTATCTGAATGCGGCTCAGCCGCACATAACGGGGAACAGAGTTGTGGAGACCCATTCCTATTCTCATTCTAATCATACTTCATTCCCAGTGCTGTCTCATCTATCAGTAAGGCAGGATACTCCCCGTTATCCTCTTTTGCCAAGACCTCCTCAACCATCAGGTGTGCAGTATACTGCACGTCCACCTCATAGCGTCTCATCAGAGCAAGCATATGCTGGTCGCAGCGCTGCAGCGCCTTGGGTTCCCCCTTCTCCGCTGCCGCGTGTGGATGTGGGTGAACCGTCTCAGCGGCTGGAGCCACCAACGCCTTTTCAAGGTGGGGGTTACAGTCTTTTCGGAGGTGGCGGCATACCCCCCTGGTTGCCTTTTTCACAGGCTTCACCTGAATCTATAGAGAGGCGCTCCCATGGAAGTGACGGAAGGCCGCAAGAGGGAGGGGGCGCCCAAGGTCCTATGCCGGATGGCCAGGACGAAGCAAGAGATAGCTTCCCAAGTAGTCGTACTTGGAGCGGCCGTCAATGAGCTACTTTTTGTAAATCTCAAGGCATACCGACTTCGCAGCGAAGTTACAGTGGACTGCTCGGGCGCGGATGCAAAATATATCAGGTTGTACACAATGGAAAAAACCACAGACCCAGGCCACAGGCTGAGATGCGACCGACAGTAAGTAAGCGAGGACCTGGTCGCACTTGCCGCACAATCGCGCATCCCGTGCACCCTGTGCACGCCCTGAAAGCCTTCACCTGTACTGCGTCGACTACCTTAGTAATTACTACGCAGCAACCTGGCTCTGCGTGCAATTCGCGCCGCGCTATGGGCGGTGCGACGAGTTAACGAGGAGTTTGCATTTGCCCGTTCGATGCATTTTGCGAACCGCGTTGAGCTTGTTGTAGAACGACTTCGTTCATAAGTGTTCAGATGTGCTTGCCGCGGCTTCAGTTGATGCTTGCATGCACTGCAAAGTTCAGCAGCAGCAGTTGCAGGAGCTCGTACTGAAGCACTGAGCTCGACGCTCGGCTAGATTCTACAAGACATTTTTCCCGGAGTTAGGCCTAGCAGCGACGGGGATGCCATTCGACTAGTTCTACTAGACACGTTTGCCCCAGCCTTGCCTAGCAAAGGTAGCCATCTGAGTATGATGCACTGTGCGCCAATCCTGCAGTCTGCAAGTGGCCTATTACCGGAAGGTGTACGAAAAGGCAGTCTCAGCAGGAGCGAATTGCTAAATGGGGAAAATGCCAAGAAGGGGGAGCAAACAGCATTTCTGTGTCGTGTAAGCGTTGTCAAGGCATAGTGGAACAACGCCAACGATGTAATGGCGGGGCAATAACACTACAAATTCAAGCGTTAATGCAGCATTCCTCTGCTACATAAATCGGAAGTGTAGCAGTACCTCACATCAGCGCGGTAGTAAAGGGCGGCGTCGCCGTGGAATCAATCATCAAAGGAAATACCTCGCTTACTCTGGGGCTCGATAATAATAGATTTCGGCAGGGGCACTCACAACGCTAAATAAACCTTCATTGCCTAAAGGAGGTAGCGGGCCCCAGGTGTGGGATGCGTGGAACAATTCGAGACCAGATCGCCACACTGAGGAGCAGCTCCAACATTTTGCATTTTTCTTGAACCAACCAAAAAGGTGCTCAGCAGCTCCAATGGAAGAGCAGAGAGGTGCGACAACTCAGAAAATAAGCAGTGCAGAAGTGCAGCATGGGCTTCGCGTGTCCAGCGAAATATAGCTAAAAGCAATTAAATCCACTACTAGCCAGCGCGAAATGCGTGAGTTTATTTGCTTTGGTTGCTGAGTTGAAGTGAGACTAAGGCAGGGTGAGGGATTAACTTTTTGGGGTCATGTGAGAGACGGCTACACACGCAACTAGGGTCATCGATCACACAGAAGACCTACGGCACTTGCTGTTTTACCCATGGCTGGTTTCTCCATGTGCAATAAATTAGCTTGTGGACGAAGATAGTTCAATTGTTGTCCTCTTAGTATTCGCGAAAGTGCCGTGGATGGTTCGTTATATGCCACGAAGTTCAATTTCCTTGCAGTTTTCTTCAGTACCCGTTACTGCAGTGGGGAGACAGAGATATGGCGAGAGTTTGACGAGGAATTTGCAACAGTTCTAGGACTTTCCACTGCTTTATAAATATATCACGTAAAAGAAATTCGACGACTGTAATCTGGAGACAGGTATAGCAGACTGTCGTTCCTCTAAGCGGTCACGCATGAAGAGGGCTCATCGCTGCATGCTGGCGCGCTCATGCGCTGATTTCACGAGCTGAAGATGGGGCATTTGGTTTATAGCTGTGAGAAAAGCATGAGATCCTGTGTCAAGCTTCGTATTCGTGGACTTGGCCAAAAGATGCCTCATCGTGATAATGGCATTATGCTCTGCTGAGGGGGATCTCACGAACTTGCTGGTTGTAAAGGGCATCATGGAGCTCCAAATGCGCAGTTGAACAGAGGCCGCCATGAAATCTTCTGGCTAGGCTCCTACAAATGTATCTCCTCGCGGAAGGCTCAGTGTCGAGCTTGCCATTTTGCCACTTTGGCCTGTGGGTTCAGCGGCAATCGGGAAACATCAGATCCCAAAACACGAATTGAAGCTTGATATCAATCTGGCTTTCGCGAGCAAGAAGCAACATCCTGTTTTTCCTACAACACGCGGGGGTAATCCTGCATACGCATGTTCCTTATTCGGGTGCGTCACCATTTTTAATGAGCAGGGAAGGCGCGTCGCATTTCCAGAAAGTGCTCAACAGTAGCTACACACAGTGCCTGCCTACACTGCTTGAACATTATTTCGACAGCGACTAAAAAATCTGGCAATGAATGAGCGTTTGTCACCACGTGCCTGAGGGGCAGAGTCTGGTCCAATGAACCCACAGCCTCATGTGTGCAGGCATGATCTGCCACTCTCTGGTACCACCCATCAAGGCTCCGATTCATATCTGCGGAGGCAAATCGATCAGCGCTGCGCGGATGAATCACCCTCTATCCAGCGTAAAGAAAGCAACAAACTGTTTGGATCGTCTTGGACTCGTCTGCTAGGGGTAGCATTCACCTCATTGGCAGCAGCGTATTTTTTGCTGTTTTGCTTTCGCTTTATAGAGTCTGCGCGTCAGTTTGCCCCGCCCACTAGATCTCTCGCAGATCGTCAAGGTGAACCATGTTATCCAGGCAGTGTATCTGGGGATGGCGATGAAGGTGGCAGTTGGCCGACGGGGGATTCGGCAGAAGGTTTAGAGCTGGAGGATTTTGGGGAAGGTAGCCTTTTGCTGCATCACGAGGCTTCGGGATTACAAGGCGCTGCCGGAGGAACACGAGAGGTAGATGCTGAGGCTGCATCCTATCTCGATATTTCGGAAGATGCTGCTGGCTTTAACCCCACGCATACTGAAGACGCTGGTTTGCACTTATGGGAAGGCCGGAACATGCCTGCGGACCAAGAAGAGCGTTTGAAAAATCTCTTTGGCCGCATGAAAGACACTTTGAATTTATGTGGGCCGCTGTTGCCAGTGTTAACGTACATGCAACGCATGCAGGTGGTATTTTATGTTGCTAGGTTGGTCGGCCTGGATTTGGGAGCCGCATCACTTGTTAAGGAGAATATGGAGCCTGAGAGGAGAGCCGTAGGCGACTCTGCCATCCAATTGATAAATCGCCTACTTGAGCAAGTGGACGACGAACGAAGCAATAGAAAATTTCGCCGGAAAGTTCAAGATTTAGGACAGTTACTTGAAGAGATAAAGCAGCCGCGGCAAATCAGTGAAGAAAAGAGCGCTCAAAAATACAAAATGAAGATGATAGCCTTGATGTCAACTGCCGAAGTGGCTCTAAAGTGTTGCGCGGGAGTTTTGCAAGGGCTGCAACAGTTAAAGGAAGATTCGCCGAGGAGGCTGCCACCGAAAGTAGTTGCGCAGCAGGTGGGTGTTTTGAAAGCGATTTTCGATGCCCACGTTAATAGTCTGTCCAAAGACGGTTCCCTTCGACAACACATTTTAGAATGCCAAAGACGTATAGGTACGCGTAGGATTATCAGTAAGGATTATTTTACGACGTCCAGAATAGAACTCCCTAAACTGAAAGACATGCAACAAAGTATATTTGACGCCGTTAGGGACGCTGGTGGTTTTCTCCGAGCTGTAGCACCACCTCGAATGAAACTTGCAAAAGCTCGCGCAGCATTCGGGGGACAGAGTGAAAAACCAAGTATCCAGGATTCGGAGCAGCGCAAATCGCCGAGCTACACACCGCTGCACGAAGGCTTCGCAGAAGCCGTGACGCTTTCATCTGACACCACAACTTCTACGCCGCATGAAGAAGTGGAGGAAATGCATTCACCGCCAGCCACAGCACCACTGTGGCGACCTGACCAGCCGCCTCGACAAGGTGCTGGACCGGGTCGGCAGCAACTACACACACCTGGTTCCTCCAGGAGTCCTCAGGATCAATTGCCGAAGCTTGCCTCTGCGTCTGTGTTTCTCCCAGGGTCTTCTCTACCGACTGTGTCGTCGGAAGCAGTTGTAGCTGCTTCCGACGACACATTCACCCGTCCATATTTCCCTCCACCGCAAATGAGCTTTGCACAGCCGCCTCAACCGTCAGATGTGCAGCAGACTGCGCGTCCACCTCATAGCGTCTCATCAGAGCAAGCATATGGTGGTCACAGCGGTGCAGCGCCTTTTGTTCCTCCTTCTCCGCTGCCGCGTGTGGATGTGGGTGGACTGTCTCAGCGGCTGCAGCCACCAGGGCCTTTTCAAGAAGAGGCTTACAGTATTTTTAGTGAGGGCGGCACGTCTCACAGGTGGTCTTCTTCACAGGAGGAGCGGAGTGGTCAGCACGAGTGGCTGATGGAACAACGGAGGCCAGAGCCGCCGGAAAAGGATTTTGTGGGAACGGTGCAGTCTTCGCCTTACGCAACAGGTGCTGCGGCGCGTACAGGAGTGGTGAAAACCCGTCCGCCCCTAGCCGGATTTTCACTGTGGCGACCTGACCGGCCGCCTCGACAAGGTGCTGGACCGGTTCGGCAGCAACTGCACACACATAGTTCCTCCTGGAGTCCTCAGGATCGATCGCCGCAGCTTGTCCGTCCCCAAGTGTTTATCGCAGGGTCTTCTCGGTTGACTGTGTCGTCGGAAGCACCTACGAGTGGAGTTTCATTCACCCATCCATATTTCCCTCCACTGCAGATGACCTTTGCACAGCCGCCTCAACCGTCAGATGTGCAGCAGACTGCGCATCTAACTCATAGTGTCTCATCAGAGCGAGCATATGGTGGTCACAGCGCTGCAGCGCCTTGGGTTCCCCCTTCTCCGCTGCCGCGTGTGGATGTGGGTGGACCGTCTCAGCGGCCGCAGCCGCCAGCGCCTTTTCAAGGTGGGGGTTACAGTCTTTTCGGAGGTGGCGGCATACCCCCCTGGTTGCCTTTTTCACAGGCTTCACCTGAATCTATAGAGAGGCGCTCCCATGGAAGTGACGGAAGGCCGCAAGAGGGAGAGGGGCGCCCAACGTCCTATGCCGGATGGCCAGGACGAAGCAAGAGATAGCTTTCCAAGTGGCCGTACTTGGAGAGACCGTCAATGAGCTATCCTTTCTTAAGGCATACAGACTTCGCAGCGAAGTTACAGCGGCCTGCTCGGGCGCCGATGCAAAATGTATCAGGTTGTACACAATGGAAATAACCACAGACCCAGGCCACGGGTTGAGATGCGACCGACAGTAAGCGAGGACCGCGTCCCACGTACCGCACAGTTGCGCATCATGTGCACCCTGTGCAGGCCCTGAAATTCCATTATTCACCTGTACTGCGTCGGCCTCCGTAGTAATTACTATACAGCAACCTGGCTTTTTATGCAGCTTGCGCCGCGCTGTGGGCGATGAGACGAGTTAACGAAGAGTTTGCATTTTCCTGTTCGATGTATTTTGCGAATCGCGTTGAACTTGTCGTATAACGACTTCGTTCATACGCCTTCATATGTGATTGCCGCGGCTTCAGTTGATGTTTGCATGCACTCGACGTTCAGCACGACGAGTTGCAGGAGCTCGTACTGTAGCACTGAGCTCGCCTTTCCGCTAGATTCTACAAGATATTTTTTCCGGAACTAGGCCTAGCAGCCTCGGGGCTGCCGTCCGTGCAGTTCTACTAGACATGTTTGCCCCATTCATGCGTAGCAAAAGTAGCCATCTGAACATGACGTACTGTGCACCTTTCCTGCAGTCTGCAAGTGGCCTATTACCGTAAGGCGTTCGAAAAGGCAGTCTCAGCAGGAGCGAATCACTAATTGTGGAAGATGCCAAGAGGGCGGAGCAGACGTCACTTTCGTGTCGTGTAGGCTTTGCCAAAGCATAGCGGAACAGCACCAACGATGTAATGGCGCGGCAATAATACTACAAATGCAAGCGTTAGTGCGTCACGTTAATGCCGCATTCCTCAGCTACATAGATCGGAAGTGCAGCACTGCCTCACATCAGTGTGGTAGTGAAGGGCGGCGTCGCCCTGGAATCAATCGTCAAAAGAAATACCTCGCTTGCTCTGGGTCTCGATGATTACGGATTTTCGCAGGGGCACCCACAACGCTAAATAAACCTTCATTGCCTGCAGGAGGTAGTGGACCTGTGCTAATTGGCGAGAGAAGGTGTGGTTGGCAAGCGTGGAACAATTCGAAACCGCATCGCCACACTGAGAGGCAGCTCCAACACTTTGCATTCTTCTTGCATCAATCAAAATAAAGCACGAAAAGGTTCAATGGAAGAGCAACGAGGCGCAACAGCTCTCTAATAAGCGGTGCAGAAGTGCAGCCCGAGCTTCGAGTAGCTTCGAGTGTGCTGCGAGACACAGTTGAAAACAATTAACTCCGCCCCTAGCCCGCGAAAAATGTGTGAATTCATTTGGCTTGGTTGTTGAGTTGAATTGAGGCGAAGAAGGGACGAGGCATCAAGTGTGTTGGGTCATGGGAGGAACTACTGCACAGTCACTGAGCCCGTCGATCCCCTGGGGACACACGGCACTTCCTGGGATATAGCCTGCAGCTGGCTTCTCCAAGTACAATGAATAAATGGTTGGATAGACACAATTAAGCAAGAGTGATCTGTGCTTTTGGGCCGATGGGCTCGATGCTTCGTTGGATGCATTTTTCCTCTAGTTTTCTTTGGTACCCATTCCTGCCCAGGGGAGACAGTTCGACCTCGAGGGCTTAACACGGTATTGACTACAGGCCTTCTTGCTTCTTTTTAATTACAAAACCAAGTACCATGTCGGATTTTGTAATCTGGACATAAGCACTGCAGGCTGCCGCTCCATTCAGGTGTCATGAAGAGTTCTCGCCGCATACTGCTACGCCCATGGACTGACTCCAAGATCTGCCGCAAGGGGCTTTGAAGTTCAACGGTGGGACAGCCAAGAGATTCTCCATCGATCTGCCTAGCTACAGAATCGGACAAACTACATTTCATGATGATTATGGCTCTGCGCCGTTCCCGACCGGAGTTTCTTTGACAAGCGGCTGCCCAAGACAGTCATGGAGCCCCGAAAGTTGAGTTGAACGCAGAGAGTCATGAAATATTATACCAGCGTTCTTATACGCGTACTTCTTGAGAAACGCATTCGTCTTCAGCATGTCATTGTGCGATTTTTCGCTGGGCGCCCACCATCGCAATCTCCTTCCTAACGGGAATCATGAAACCACTAAACTTGACTTGAATCACACTATCACTTTGGTTTCAGCCATCAGGAAGTAACATTCTGCTTTCTTGTAGCTGGTTAACGAGAAAGCGCATGCAAAACCAATGCTGCCATATTTAGGTATGCCACCGTTTCGATGACCAAGGAAGCCGCACAACAGCTGCAGAGAGGCCTCTAGAGTAGCCACGAAAAGTGCCACACTACATTCTTTGGACAACATATGGACTGATGCTGGAAGCAATCTGGTAAGGATTTTGACTTTGCCCCCGCATACGCGAGGCGAGGTGTCTGGTCCAATGGACACACTGCCTGAGGAACAGCTCAAGCAGGGCATGCTGGCCTCTGGTATCGCCCATCAAGGTTCCGATTCACATCTACGGAGGCAAATCGATCAGCGCTGCGCGGGTGAATCACCCTTTACCCAGCGTAAAGAAAGCAACAAACTGTTTGTATCGTCTTGGACTCGTCTGCTCGGCGTAGCATTCACCTCGTTGGCAGCAGCGTATTTTTTGCTGCTTTGTTTTCGCTTTATAGAGTCTGCGCGTCAGTGGTCCCCGCCCACTAGATTTCTCGCAGATCGTCGAGGTGAATCATGCTATTCAGGCAGTGTGTCTGGGGATGGCGATGAAGGCGGCAGTTGGCCGACGGGGGATTCGGCAGGTTTAGTGCTGGAGGATTTTGGGGATGGCATCCATTTGCTAAATCATGAGGCTTCGGGATCACAAGTCGCTGCCGGAGGAACACGAGAGGTAGATGCTGAGGCTGCATCCTATCTCGATATTTCGGAAGATGCTGCTGGCTTTAACCCCACGCATACTGAAGACGCTGGTTTGCACTTATGGGAAGGCCGGAACATGCCTGCGGACCAAGAAGAGCGTTTGAAAAATCTCTTTGGCCGCATGAAAGACACTTTGAATTTATGTGGGCCGCTGTTGCCAGTGTTAACGTACATGCAACGCATGCAGGTGGTATTTTATGTTGCTAGGTTGGTCGGCCTGGATTTGGGAGCCGCATCACTTGTTAAGGAGAATATGGAGCCTGAGAGGAGAGCCGTAGGCGACTCTGCCATCCAATTGATAGATCATTTACTTCAGCTGGTTAACAACGACACGAGCAATAGAAAATTTCGCCGGAAAGTTGAAAAATTAAAAATTTTGCTTGAGCAGATAAAGCAGCCGCGGCATATCCGTGAAGAAAAGAGAGCTCAAAAATACAGAATGAAGATGATAGCCTTGATGTCAACTGCCGAAGTGGCTCTAAAGTGTTGCGCAGGAGTTTTGCAAGGGCTGGGACAGCTAAAGGAAGATCCGTCGAAGAGGCTGCCACCGAAAGTAGTTGCGCAACAGGTGGATGTTTTGAAAGCGATTTTCGACGCCCACGTTGACCACCTGTCCAAAGACGGCTGCCTTCGACAACACATTTTAGATTGTCAAAAAAATACAGGTGTGCGTGCGATTATCAGTAAGGAGCATTTTACAACGTCCAGAGCAGAGCTCCCTAAACTGAAAGACATGCAAAAAAGTATATTTGACGCCGTTGGGAACGCTGGTGGTTTTCTCCGAGCTGCAGCACCACCTCGAATGAAACTTGCAAAAGCTCGCGCAGCATTGGGGGGACAGAGTGAAAAACCAAGTATCCAGGATTCGGAGCAGCGCAAATCGCCGAGCAT